TCTCTCTCTCTCTCTCTCTCTCTCTGTGTGTGTGTGTGTGTGTGTGGCAGTGGTTGGTGGCCACCTCAGGGCATCAGTTGTCGGGCAGTCGTTGATGCTTAACCACAACCGGGGTTAAGGTGGATTATCACTTACTGTGTAATCGGTTAGGGGATACTGCAGACTGTTGAGGGTTCAGCCTCCTGATGAGTCAGTGAAACTCCTACGAAACAGTTTGTCACAGCTCCTCGTTTGTTGTCCTCTTCTCCGTCACTGCCTACGGTTTACTGGGCAGCCCTGTTTAACTATATATATATATATTTCTTTTTCTTGTCTGCTTGCTCGAGTTTACTCTTTGTCATCGTCCAATCTGAGCATATGCGTGGTGTGGAAATTGTGCGCTTCTCGAGATTGGGTTGATTTCAATTTGTTATCAGACCGGAATCTGCTTACTTTGATTGGCGATGTTGGAGTAGTCCACTGTGGTAGTACAAGAGCAGTATCTGCTGGGAGATCAGTGAGGGTGGAGTAGGAAAGCTGGTGGGGGAAGAAGAGACCCGCGCACGCTGAAACTGGACTGGCGGCACGGGCGATTAGCACCTTGGCAGACTAATGCTTGCTAATGTTAAAAAGAAAAGGAAAACAGGAAAATAGTAGAGCAAATTCAAAATAGGCATCGCAGTATGATTGTGCTGACTAAACCTCCACAATATTTAACAACTGGGGTTTTATGTCATGCATACAAATCACCTACATGGACAGCGCTGTGCTCAGGAGGAGTTGATTTGACCGGCTGTGTGGCCGGTATTCGGCGCTGTGCATCGTGCCAGAAATACGAGATCAATACCCTGCCAATGTGTGTGGCCTGAATGTTTGCCTTGTGTATATGCTGCTCTGGAAACCGTGCTCTTCCTTGATGGTGGGTGAGATCTCACTGTCAGTTGTTTAGGGTCTTGAGGCCCTCTTTCCGCAATCTCTGGTCGATTTGTTGTCTCAGTCTTCAGCGTTCTCTATGTTTTTCCATTCTGAAGGAGTAAGCATATCAATTGCTGGAAACGGGGTTCAGCGTCCCTTACAATTACAATAATACCCCTCTCGACGTTTTGCTCCATCATTACGGCCAGGGAACCCCGAGGCTGTGGCACTGATTATTTCCCGAGAAGGAAGGATCTACCTCCTCTCACCTCTACTTCCCTTCCTTCTACTAGTGCTCTTCAACTGCCTCAACAGTCATCGGGAAATCTTGAGGTCCTGGAGGAGTAGAAATATGGCCCAACAGCGTTGGCTTCTTCTGTCAGATGACGCTGTCGGGCCATATGTCTACTCCTCCAGGACCTCAAGATTTCCCGACGACTGTTGAGGCAGTTGAAGAGCACTAGTAGAAGGAAGGGAAGTAGAGGTGAGAGGAGGTAGATCCTTCCTTCTCGGGAAATAATCAGTGCCAAAGCGTCGAGAGGGGGATTATTGTAATTGTGAGGGACGCTTAACCCAGTTTTCAGCAATTGATACACTTAACTCCTTCAGAACGGAAAAACATAGAGAACACTGAAGACTGAGACAACAAATTGACCAGAGATTGCCGAAATAGGGCCTCAAGGCCCTAAACAACTGACCGTGAGATCTCACCCACCAACCTGCTGCCCGCTAGAGATTGGATGCCCTTGTTCTATCCTTACCATTCCTTAGCCCTCTCCTATCGTCGGATGATTTGGTTCAGTGACAGGCAAACTGCATCCCTTCCTCTAGATCCTCCAGGTCTTCCTCTCCTGAGATGGTAATTTCCTCTCCATGTCTGTGCTTTTCCATCTAATCGTCCTCCATCTCAGTGCACTTCCTCCTCTCCTTCGATTTCCGAAGTCTCTGTGCCCCATTCACACCACTCTTTGAATTTAAGAGTTCGTCCTTGCACTCTTTGCCCTTTCCTTCAACCATGCTTCTTCAAAGTCTTTCTCCAACCGGATCCTCTTCTGGCAGTCAATCTCTCTGTTCATCTTCATTAATGTCTGCTTCCCTTCTGCCTTTATTTCCTCCCTCCATTAACTCTCCTGCTTCCTTCCAGGACTCTTCTACTGGTATTTTTCTGTTGCCCACTGTCTCACTGCATCTTCGTAGCGAGAGCGACGGCGTGCTCCACCGGGTTCTTCCCATCCGCCAGTGAGCCAAAATATTACCCATAAGGTTGTCTTCCTTAGCAGCCGTTCTGTGATCCTTTTGTCGCCTCCGGTAAATGTCCTGGAAGGTCTGATTGAGCCTGAATAGAAAGATTCAGCTTTTTTTTTTGGGAATCAGACCTTCAAGTATGTGTAGAGCCTGAACACAGGTATGCTCACTAAGGTTGTGGGACGTACCGCTCTCTATGTTGTAGACAGTCTTGTTGCGCAACAAACTCGGGCTTCAGCAATGGCTTACCTCGTTGATCAACACCGCGGTCTGTCTTTTTTTGTTTTTTTTGTTTTTTTTGTTTTTTTTTGTTTTTTTTGTTTTTTTTGTTTTTTTTGTTTTTTTTGTTTTTTTTGTTTTTTTTGTTTTTTTTGTTTTTTTTGTTTGTTTGTCAAACACATCGGCGACGGTGATGGTGGGGGTGCTGATAAGAGCAGACACCCATCCCATTCCGGATCATGATGGCGCCGTTCCATTGGTGGGGAGCTGCACCTGCTGGAAATCGGGTCCAGCATCCCTTAACATTCACTGCAAGAAGCCATACTTATATCAGTTTCAGTTATGTAACCTGCTGATGCAGGAGTGTGAGACCTGGTAGAGAGATCTGGGGATGCTTTGGGGTGGGCATTCCAAGGGACAACCAAGGGTTGCTGCTGGGACGACGCTGGCCGGAGCTGGGGCGAGTTGTGTTGCCCTGTAACCCAGCAGGGGGGGGGTGTCAGGCCTGGAAGAGCTCGGCAGGGAGTAAGACAGTGCTGGAAAGCTTTAGAAGGGTTGGTAGGGATCCACAGGGTTTTGAGCATTTGTAGGACCTCTGTGGTGGCATGTTTTGTTGTGGGCACTGGGCAGACCTTTTTTGTAGTTTTTCATCGTAATTTTCTAAGTAGCTCAAAATTCTCTCAAAGTTCTCTCAGTCAAAGCCGGGTAATGGCCTGGGTATCTCAAACTTTCAAAATTCGATGTAAATTTCCATATGGGACGCTGGGCCCAGTTCCCAGCATGTGCTGCTCTCCACAAACAGATTGGAGCCTTGTCCCCCCCCCCGCGAAAAAAAAGAAAAAAAAAAAGAAAAGAACGGTTGTAATTAATAGGCACTGGACAGCATTGATTGCCTTCCACAGAGGGGATTAACTGCCCATCTATTTTAACAGCTCAGCCACACAGCCCTTCCACAGTCCTACAACCTAAGCGGTTCCACCACGTCCCTGCCACATGGCAGAATTACAATCAGCAACCACCATTCCTTTGAGAGCAAACTCCCCAGGCCCCCTCCTGACCCGAGAGCACTCCCAGACGCGAACGTTACTCAATTCATAAAACCCTGATCCCGGATGCTCGTTGCTATTCTCAGATGCTTGTGTGGAGAGCTTAATTGATGTATGGATCCTGCCAACTAACAAGCAACCGGATCGAATATTATCAAGACGAAGCAGAGCACCCACTCTCATAGGCATTGTTGGTATTATTCCAATTTCCATCTGAGGGCTGCTCTTTCCCGGTATCTTCATATTAGCTTAATTATCTCCTGGTCATCCCCCAGCCCAAAGAATTGCTCAAAAGAGTCCACGGCTAGCAGGATGCAGCTGCGTTTCTAAAATTTTAACAGGCGTCATTGTGCACTTACGAGAGGGATGATGAATTGATGAGGGGGGGAGCAAAGTGCAAATCGGTCCTCGCTTCGAAAGCAAGGGGGAAATCACTCCACAGGGAATTTACTTCCCCCTACCCGACCACCTCACACCACTAGCCAACTTTTAATCTCACCCACCCATCACCCCAAATCCCTCGTAACCACACCACGTCCATCCAACGCGACCCTCGAACCCTCATCGACCCAATCTCGATCAGCAACCCTAAAAAAACTCCCTCAAAAAAGAAACACCAGATTGCCCGGAAAAAGAAACACCGGATCGCCCCGTTGTCAACGTCTCGAAGATCGCATAAGAAAGCCGCCATGGCACCCAGCAGAGGAGGGGTGCAGGGGAAACCCTTTCTGCTAAGCATGTCACCCGTAGTGCACTTACCTTTGGATTGGCGCCCTTCACTCAGCCTGCGAACTGTTTCAAGAGCGGGCTCCCCACCTTGCCCGTTGTTGCCTAACCGCAGGGCAGAGTGCCGGTCAAATCGAGGTTGATGGGCCTCCTTGTGTATTCATCATTGCAACGATCTGGGAGGCTGCAGCGTTTGTCATGCCATCGTTGCCATGTACTTGCCCCCATCCATCAGGCATGACGATGCCCCACAGGTGCTGACCATATAATTGCCCTCGTCCATCAAGCATGTCGATGCCCCACAGGTGCTGATTATTAATCCGTTCTCGCCACAGAGGACGTCCGTTTCCTCCTTGGCCTGAGACTCATGTCGAATCACATCATTTGTCACTTTGGTTGTCTGTGCTTCAGTCATATAGCCGTCAGGCCCATCACTATTATGAGCGTCGTATGAGTCATGATCCTTCGTCGCCACAACTTCGTGGCCGGCATCATCCTGCAGGCCTTCCTCAGCCACCTGCCAGTTGTCGATGCTGATTATGCCCCGCCGTTGTACCAAAATTGTCCGTAGCTTGCCCAACGATGTAATGCACTCCTGACTGTCACCGGAAACCTGGTCGTTGGCAAGGCTATCATGTGGTTGCAAAAGGACGCTCGCTCGCAACTCATCTTCCCATCCATCAAAGACCTCCTCTGCTTCCCGAAGAAGCTCCAGATGCGG